TAGTGGATACAGTAATCAAACCCTGGTGATTAGAGGATACAGTAATCAAACCCTGGTGTTTAGTGGATATAGTAATCGTACCCTGATGTTTAGTGGATACAGTAATTGTACCCTGGTGATTAGAGGATACAGTAATCAAACCCTGGTGTTTAGTGGATACAGTAATCATACCCCAATGTTTAGTGGATACAGTAATCGTACATGGTGAACAACTAATCTGAGAGTTAAACTGTAGGAAAATAGATACCACATTCATCGCAGACAATGACAAGAGTCTCCAGTGAATACAGTAACTATACACTGTGAGCAACTAATCTGAGTTAAACCATAAAAGAAAAATATTATGGTCATCTTTAAAAAGAAACAAATACATAATGAATCATTGATGTCTTCTCTGGTGCTAGGTCTGCAGTAGACACTGATGCCTTCTCTGGTGCTAGGTCTGCAGTAGACATTGATGTCTTCTCTGGGTGCTAGGTCTGCAGTAGACATTGATGTCTTCTCTGGGTGCTAGGTCTGCAGTAGACACTGATGTCTTCTCTGGTGCTAGGTCTGCAGTAGACATTGATGTCTTCTCTGGGTGCTAGGTCTGCAGTAGACACTGATGTCTTCTCTGGTGCTAGGACTGCAGTAGACATTGATGTCTTCTCTGGGTGCTAGGTCTGCAGTAGACACTGATGTCTTCTCTGGTGCTAGGTCTGCAGTAGACATTGATGTCTTCTCTGGGTGCTAGGTCTGCAGTAGACATTGATGTCTTCTCTGGGTGCTAGGTCTGCAGTAGACACTGATGTCTTCTCTGGTGCTAGGTCTGCAGTAGACACTGATGTCTTCTCTGGTGCTAGGTCTGCAGTAGACATTGATGTCTTCTCTGGTGCTAGGTCTGCAGTAGACATTGATGCCTTCTCTGGTGCTAGGTCTGCAGTAGACATTGATGTCTTCTCTGGGTGCTAAGTCTGCAGTAGACATTGATGTCTTCTCTGGGTGCTAGGTCTGCAGTAGACACTGATGTCTTATCTAGTGCTAGGTCTGCAGTAGACATTGATGTCTTCTCTGGGTGCTAGGTCTGCAGTAGACATTGATGTCTTCTCTGGTGCTAGGTCTGCAGTAGACATTGATGTCTTCTCTGGGTGCTAGGTCTGCAGTAGACATTGATGTCTTCTCTGGGTGCTAGGTCTGCAGTAGACATTGATGTCTTCTCTGGTGCTAGGTCTGCAGTAGACATTGATGTCTTCTCTGGTGCTAGGTCTGCAGTAGACATTGATGTCTTCTCTGGGTGCTAGGTCTGCAGTAGACATTGATGTCTTCTCTGGTGCTAGGTCTGCAGTAGACATTGATGTCTTCTCTGGGTGCTAGGTCTGCAGTAGACATTGATGTATTCTCTGGTGCTAGGTCTGCAGTAGACACTGATGTCTTCTCTGGGTGCTAGGTCTGCAGTAGACACTGATGTCTTCTCTGGTGCTAGGTCTGCAGTAGACATTGATGTCTTCTCTGGGTGCTAGGCCTGCAGTAGACACTGATGTCTTCTCTGGTGCTAGGTCTGCAGTAGACATTGATGTCTTCTCTGGTGCTAGGCCTGCAGTAGACATTGATGTCTTCACTGGTGCTAGGTCTGCAGTAGACACTGATGTCTTCTCTGGGTGCTAGGTCTGCAGTAGACATTGATGTCTTCACTGGTGCTAGGTCTGCAGTAGACATTGATGTCTTCTCTGGGTGTTAGGTCTGCAGTAGACACTGATGTCTTCTCTGGTGATAGGTCTGCAGTAGACATTGATGTCTTCTCTGGTGCTAGGTCTGCAGTAGACATTGATGTCTTCTCTGGTGCTAGGTCTGCAGTAGACACTGATGTCTTCTCTGGTGATAGGTCTGCAGTAGACATTGATGTCTTCTCTGGTGCTAGGTCTGCAGTAGACATTGATGTCTTCTCTGGTGATAGGTCTGCAGTAGACATTGATGTCTTCTCTGGTGCTAGGTCTGCAGTAGACATTGATGTCTTCTCTGGTGCTAGGTCTGCAGTAGACACTGATGTCTTCTCTGGTGCTAGGTCTGCAGTAGACATTGATGTCTTCTCTGGTGCTAGGTCTGCAGTAGACATTGATGTCTTCTCTGGTGCTAGGTCTGCAGTAGACATTGATGTCTTCTCTGGGTGCTAGGTCTGCAGTAGACATTGATGTCTTCTCTGGGTGCTAGGTCTGCAGTAGACATTGATGTCTTCTCTGGTGCTAGGTCTGCAGTAGACACTGATGATCATAGTTACACAATATGAAATTTTTAAAAATATTTAGATATTGTTGTTCAGGTTTTATACATACTCTTCAGCAAATGTCAGAAGAACCCACTTCTTTTAAAACTGGGAATGAACTCAGGGACTATGTATTCTGACTGCCTAGTGTATTAACCACTACAGTTTACAATGCTTGAAAGGCAGTTCACAACAAACAACAAAGTATGTTTACCATGTGAAGTTCACTTTTAACAAAGTATGTTTACCGTGTGATGTTGACTTTTGCCCCCAGCAACAACTTTAACCTGGTACTTGATGCGTCTGTAGAAATATTTCAAATGTACAAATATGATGTATAATTATCAAAGTACACAAAAAGTAGCTCGTTAATATACTCCATTATCTTCCTAGAACTGTTATCTTTTAGCACTGTTCTGTCACAACCACTGTGACATTGAGTTCAATCAGAATTCAGCTTCTTAACAAAGACCATTTTATTTTTACAATTTATTGTATTTATCGTATTCTTGATAAAGAATCCTTTGGTAGTATTTTATATCAAAAATTTCAATTTTTCCATTTCAATATTTTATCATTTATACTAGCTTGCCGAAGCAAGATGGATCAGAAACAGTATTATCTTGGCTTCTAATCAGCCAGCCACACATATGTGTAATTAAATGTTGGCCATAAACAGCTGCGATTGTCTGCAAGTGAGCACAGTATAGAGGCTGACCAAGAAAGCAGTTTGGGTTCAAGTCCAAGTAAGGATGAAGTCATACCGCATGTAATGGCTACAAGAGATTTTAAATGTTAAATAACTCAAGTAAAGGCAGCCTTTCAAAAAATGAAGAATATTCTATGTCATTTTTCCCTGTCAATTGGGATGAGAAAGATCATTCTCAACAGCTACAGAGATATTATCCTGATAAATGGTAGTTAATGAAAGTTAGCCGATAAGTGAACAAATATGTGGAAGCGGCGGAGATGTGGTTTTACACACAAACTATAAGGATAGCCTGGACAGATAAAGAAAGAAATGAAGATGTCTTGAAAAAAAAAAACATGACTCATGAAGAGAACTGATTGCCCACACCAGAAGCAGACAATCTACATTCTTTGGTCAGGTCATGAGAAGGAGAAAACCGGAGTACATTGTGACAGTAGGAAAGTTGGAGGGGAAAGAGGCGGAAGGAGACCAAGAGAGAGAAGAGGTTGAAAGGTCTGACATCATGGCATGGAAAATCATCTGTGTCAGAACTGCATGAAAGCAAATGAGACAGAAGTCTGTGGACAGACGTGAATACCAAACCCAGTATGATATGCACTATAAGAAGAAAGTTTACCAAACTTAACAATACAATTCTATAATTTCATGATATGAATGTTTACGCTGTTTATCTCTGACAGCTCTATAATTTTACAATATGAATGTTTACGCTGTTTATCACTGACAGCTCTATAATTTCACAATATGAATGTTTACATTGTTTAATACTGACAGCTCTATAATTTCACAATATGAATGTTTACATTGTTTAATACTGGCAGCTCTATAATTTTACAGTGTCTATGTTACTACAGTGGTTTACACTGTTTAACACTGACAGCTCTACAATTTCACAGTGTGTCCATGTTACTACAGTGGTTTACACTGTTTAACACTGACAGCTCTACAATTTCACAATGTGTCTATGTTACTACAGTGATTTATACTGTTTAACACTGACAGCTCTACAATTTCACAGTGTGTCTATGTTACTACAGTGGTTTATACTGTTTAACACTGACAGCTCTACAATTTCACAGTGTGTCTATGTTACTACAGTGGTTTACACTGTTTAACACTGACAGCTCTACAATTTCACAGTGTGTCCATGTTACTACAGTGATTTACACTGTTTAACACTGACAGCTCTACAATTTCACAGTGTGTCTATGTTACTACAGTGGCTTACACTATTTAACACTGACAGCTCTACAATTTCACAGTGTGTCTATGTTACTACAGTGGCTTACACTATTTAACACTGACAGCTCTACAATTTCACAATGTCTATGTTACTACAGTGGTTTACACTGTTTAACACTGACAGCTCTACAATTTCACAGTGTGTCTATGTTACTACAGTGGTTTACACTATTTAACACTGACAGCTCTACAATTTCACAATGTCTATGTTACTACAGTGGTTTACACTATTTAACACTGACAGCTCTACAATTTCACAGTGTGTCTATGTTACTACAGTGGCTTACACTATTTAACACTGACAGCTCTACAATTTCACAATTTGTCTATGTTACTACAGTGGCTTACACTATTTAACACTGACAGCTCTACAATTTCACAGTGTGACTATGTTACTACAGTGGCTTACACTATTTAACACTGACAGCTCTACAATTTCACAGTGTGTCTATGTTACTACAGTGGTTTATACTGTTTAACACTGACAGCTCTACAATTTCACAGTGTGTCTATGTTACTACAGTGGTTTACACTATTTAACACTGACAGCTCTACAATTTCACAGTGTGTCTATGTTACTACAGTGGCTTACACTATTTAACACTGACAGCTCTACAATTTCACAGTGTGTCTATGTTACTACAGTGGTTTACACTATTTAACACTGACAGCTCTACAATTTCACAATGTCTATGTTACTACAGTGGTTTACACTGTTTAACACTGACAGCTCTACAATTTCACAGTGTGACTATGTTACTACAGTGGTTTACACTATTTAACACTGACAGCTCTACAATTTCACAGTGTGACTATGTTACTACAGTGGTTTACACTATTTAACACTGACAGCTCTACAATTTCACAGTGTGTCTATGTTACTACAGTGGTTTACACTATTTAACACTGACAGCTCTACAATTTCACAGTGTGTCCATGTTACTACAGTGGTTTACACTATTTAACACTGACAGCTCTACAATTTCACAGTGTGTCTATGTTTTGTTACAGTGGCTTACACTGTTTAACACTGACAGCTCTACAATTTCACAGTCTGACTATGTTACTACAGTGGTTTACACTATTTAACACTGACAGCTCTACAATTTCACAGTGTGACTATGTTACTACAGTGGTTTACACTATTTAACACTGACAGCTCTACAATTTCACAGTGTGTCTATGTTACTACAGTGGTTTACACTATTTAACACTGACAGCTCTACAATTTCACAGTGTGACTATGTTACTACAGTGGTTTACACTATTTAACACTGACAGCTCTACAATTTCACAGTGTGACTATGTTACTACAGTGGTTTACACTATTTAACACTGACAGCTCTACAATTTCACAGTGTGTCTATGTTACTACAGTGGTTTATACTGTTTAACACTGACAGCTCTACAATTTCACAGTGTGACTATGTTACTACAGTGGTTTACACTATTTAACACTGACAGCTCTACAATTTCACAGTGTGACTATGTTACTACAGTGGTTTACACTATTAACACTGACAGCTCTACAATTTCACAGTGTGTCTATGTTACTACAGTGGTTTATACTGTTTAACACTGACAGCTCTACAATTTCACAGTGTGTCTGTAACTACAGTGGTTTACACTGTTCAACATAATAACTTTACCAATATATATAGTATAATAATTACGGACGGTAACATTGTTGTATTGTTGGGGTTGCTCAACATTTTTATAATGTGCAGTAATGGCATCAGGTTCTGTCAGCTCAGTGTAGTTTGACACCACTGTAGGTGCAGCTCAAAATCTCCTGCCTGTGTGCTGCACTTTTGTCTCAGTACTGAAGGTATGTAGCGTATTTACTCCACGAGCAGTGGCACAAGCGAATGCTGAATGATGAGCTGCTTCTGTCAGAGCTGCCTCAGTGAGTGCTACCTGGAGAATTGTGGGTCAGAGAAATGGTCAGGATAGCCAGTGGGCAGACGAAGGCACCGGGCGGAAAGGACAATGTCTAGAGTGGGGGCTGTTGGGAGAATTCCTAGTTTTTAAACAAAACAAAATTTGGGAAAATTTGCTGTCATTTACACAGAAAAACATGATACATGTTATTACAGTAGTTTATACTGCTTAACATAGACAGTTCTACATTACACAATTTGAATATGTTTTTACAGAAGTTCACTTTGTTTAAGCACTTGCTGTTGGTGTTAAAGCTGACAGTGTGTAAAACAGCATGGCTCCTTTTAAGTGTTTATTATAACAATAAACATGTCTGCTTTTAGTAATGATTATTTCTTAAGAATTGTCAGCAATCAACAATCAAGAACCATCATCAGGGAAAGCTCAACCATGTGCCTAACAAACATCCAAGACCTAAAACAGGTGGCAACGAACCGCCAGACATGCAGAGCTGTGACCTTTGCCCTAAGCACCACCCTAGGCTCAAGAGGAAAGACTAACTAGCTAACCAACCAACCAATTAACAACTAACAATCAAGGCAGCAAAGTCTTACTTTAACAGCAGTGTCATTATTGCTGTGATATTCTCTCTTGTGTCAATCAGAACTACAGGTCTGGAAACCACTTGTGAAACATCAAGCTGAAAAACATGTTCAATAGATACTGCAAGCTTCTACACAGTCAACAATACAGTTATCACAAATAAGCTTCCATAAAGACAAGAATAAAGTTATCACAAATACGCTTCCACACAGACAATAATAAAGTTATCACAATTATGCTTCCACACAGACAAGAATAAAGTTATCACAAATAAGCTTCCGCACAGACAAGAATAGTTATCACAAATACACTTCCGCACAGACAAGAATAAAGTTTTCACAAATACACTTCCGCACAGACAAGAATAAAGTTATCACAAATACGCTGCCACACAGACAAGAATAAAGTTATCACAAATACGCTTCCACACAGACAAGAATAAAGTTATCACAAATACGCTGCCACACAGACAAGAATAAAGTTATCACAAATACACTTCCACACAGACAAGAATAAAGTTATCACAAATACGCTTCCACACAGACAAGAATAAAGTTATCACAAATACACTTCCACACAGACAGGAATAAAGTTATCACAAATACGCTTCCACACAGACAAGAATAAAGTTATCACAAATACACTTCCACACAGACAAGAATAAAGTTATCACAAATACACTTCCACACAGACAAGAATAAAGTTATCACAAATACACTTCCACACAGACAAGAATAAAGTTATCACAAATACACTTCCACACAGACAAGAATAAACTTATCACAAATACGATTCCACACAGACAAGACTAAAGTTATCACAAATACACTTCCACATAGACAAGAATAAAGTTATCACAAATACGCTTCCGGACAGACAAGAATAAAGTTATCACAAATTTGCTTCCACACAGACAAGAATAAAGTTATCACAATTATGCTTCCACACAGACAAGAATAAAGTTATCACAATTATGCTTCCACACAGACAAGAATAAAGTTATCACAATTATGCTTCCACACAGACAAGAATAAAGTTATCACAATTATGCTTCCACACAGACAAGAATAAAGTTATCACAATTATGCTTCCACACAGACAAGAATAAAGTTATCACAATTATGCTTCCACACAGACAAGAATAAAGTTATCACAATTATGCTTCCGCACAGACAAGAATAAAGTTATCACAATTATGCTTCTACACAGACAAGAATAAAGTTATCACAAATAAGCTTCCGCACAGACAAGAATAGTTATCACAAATACACTTCCGCACAGACAAGAATAAAGTTATCACAAATACACTTCCGCACAGACAAGAATAAAGTTATCACAAATACGCTTCCACACAGACAAGAATAAAGTTATCACAAATACGCTTCCGCACAGACAAGAATAAAGTTATCACAAATACGCTTCCACACAGACAAGAATAAAGTTATCACAAATCTGCTTCCACACAGACAAGAATAAAGTTATCACAAATACGCTTCCACACAGACAAGAATAAAGTTATCACAAATACACTTCCACACAGACAAGAATAAAGTTATCACAAATACGCTTCCACACAGACAAGAATAAAGTTATCACAAATACACTTCCACACAGACAAGAATAAAGTTATCACAAATACACTTCCACACAGACAAGAATAAAGTTATCACAAATACACTTCCACACAGACAAAAATAAACTTATCACAAATACGATTCCACACAGACAAGAATAAAGTTATCACAAATACACTTCCACACAGACAAGAATAAAGTTACCACAAATACCCTTCCACACAGACAAGAATAAAGTTATCACAAATACGCTTCCAAACAGTCAACAATAAAGTTACCACAAATACGCTTCCACACAGACAAGAATAAAGTTATCACAAATACGCTTCCGCACAGACAAGAATAAAGTTATCACAAATACGCTTCCACACAGACAAGAATAAAGTTATCACAAATACACTTCCACACAGACAAGAATAAAGTTATCACAAATACGCTTCCACACAGACAAGAATAAAGTTATCACAAATACACTTCCACACAGACAAGAATAAAGTTATCACAAATACGCTTCCACACAGACAAGAATAAAGTTATCACAAATACACTTCCACATAGACAAGAATAAAGTTATCACAAATACACTTCCACACAGACAAGAATAAACTTATCACAAATACGATTCCACACAGACAAGAATAAAGTTATCACAAATACACTTCCACACAGACAAGAATAAAGTTATCACAAATACCCTTCCACACAGACAAGAATAAAGTTATCACAAATATGCTTCCAAACAGTCAACAATAAAGTTACCACAAATACGCTTCCGCACAGACAAGAATAAAGTTATCACAAATACGCTTCCGCACAGACAAGAATAAAGTTATCACAAATACGCTTCCGCAAAGACAAGAATAAAGTTATCACAAATTTGCTTCCACACAGACAAGAATAAAGTTATCACAATTATGCTTCCACACAGACAAGAATAAAGTTATCACAATTATGCTTCCACACAGACAAGAATAAAGTTATCACAATTATGCTTCCGCACAGACAAGAATAAAGTTATCACAATTATGCGTCCACACAGACAAGAATAAAGTTATCACAATTATGCTTCCGCACAGACAAGAATAAAGTTATCACAATTATGCTTCCGCACAGACAAGAATAAAGTTTTCACAATTATGCTTCCACACAGACACGAATAAAGTTATCACAATTATGCTTCCACACAGACAAGAATAAAGTTATCACAATTATGCTTCCGCACAGACAAGAATAAAGTTTTCACAATTATGCTTCCACACAGACAAGAATAAAGTTATCACAATTATGCTTCCACACAGACAAGAATAAAGTTATCACAAATGTATAAATAATGCAGTCCTTTATATTAAGACAACAGGATTGGCAGCGGATACTTGACATATTTTTGTGCAATCATCAAAAGTTTAAAGCAAAGAGCATCAGCTTCATTGGACCAGGTCTCTCTCCATTAACAGACCTGCATGCTCAATTTGTAACCCCCAAACAACACATTCAAAGTGGCTAGCTGTCTGTCAGGAATCTTGCACAAACTCCATCACTCTAGCAAAGATCTTCAGATATCACCCATAAAACTGCACACTCTGAACACATCAATCTGAAAGCAAACCCAAAACCTTCAGTACACAGGCAATGGCTTGACCGCTTTTTCATGAAGTGTTGCCCCTTCTTTTCTCCCCCTAGGTGAAAGAATGAACATATTGCAATAGGTGACATCCCATACAGAATCAGATGACTGACTATACCAAGAGTATTAAGCTGATGGCAGTTTGTAAAAATTATCAATGTCCCACTTTTTAAACTGTTCAGAAATATCTTCAACGTTACTTTCGGATTTAAAACAATCAAGTCAATATCCCACTGCACCAAAAATATTCTCCAAACTGTTCAGAAATATCTTCAACTTTACTTTCTGATTTAAAACAATCAAGACAATATCCCACTGCATCAAAAATATTCTCCAAACTGTTCAGAAATATCTTCAACTTTACTGTCGGATTTAAAACAATCAAGTCAATATCCTACTGCATCAAAAATATTCCCCACACTGTTCCCCCATGTAGACCCTAACAATCGGCCCCATTATGAGAACATGCGCCAAATGTGTAATCGGCATGGCAGCACACCCAAAGATCTGTTGAAAATTTACTTTAAGCACTACCGAATTGTGTCCCTTAAGCATAAAGCAATGAATGGCTTTAACTACATTTATCACAATTTTAACATGGTGGCGAGCGCCCAAAGTATGATCGCAGGCGGTGTGATCATGGCAAACAGGTGAAAATGTTGGTGAATCACATAGAGTGCGATTGTGGTAAACAGGTGAAAATGATGGTGAATCACATAGTATGATCGTGGTAAACAGGTGAAAATGTTGGTGAATCACATAGTGTGATCGTGGTAAACAGGTGAAAATGTTGGTGAATCACATAGAGTGTGATCATGGTAAACAGGTGAAAATGTTGGTGAATCACATAGAGTGCGATTGTGGTAAACAGGTGAAAATGTTGGTGAATCACATAGTGTGATCGTGGTAAACATGTGAAAATGTTGGTGAATCACATAGAGTGTGATCATGGTAAACAGGTGAAAATGTTGGTGAATCACATAGAGTGCGATTGTGGTAAACAGGTGAAAATGTTGGTGAATCACATAGTGTGTGATCGTGGTAAACAGGTGAAAATGTTGGTGAATCACATAGAGTGCGATCATGGTAAACAGGTGAAAATGGTGAATCACATAGTGTGTGATCATGGTAAACAGGTGAAAATGTTGGTGAATCACATAGTATGATCGTGGTAAACAGGTGAAAATGTTGGTGAATCACATAGTGTGATCGTGGTAAACAGGTGAAAATGTTGGTGAATCACATAGAGTGTGATCATGGTAAACAGGTGAAAATGTTGGTGAATCACATAGAGTGCGATTGTGGTAAACAGGTGAAAATGTTGGTGAATCACATAGTGTGTGATCGTGGTAAACAGGTGAAAATGTTGGTGAATCACATAGAGTGCGATCGTGGTAAACAGGTGAAAATGTTGGTGAATCACATAGAGTGCGATCATGGTAAACAGGTGAAAATGGTGAATCACATAGTGTGTGATCGTGGTAAACAGGTGAAAATGTTGGTGAATCACATAGAGTGCGATCGTGACAGTCAGTGGGTTCACACAAAATTCAAACTCACCATTGCTGGTTTCTGAGCTAAAGACATCTTTAATTACAGTGATACGGATTTCAAGAGATTCTTTCATTAAAAAAATTGAGAGAGAGAGAGAGAGGGAGGGAGAGGGGGAGAGAGACAGACAGACAGACAAACACGCACACACAATCCCTTCACTTGTTAAATGAAGTAAACTGGGAAACATACAGAAACAAACATAAAGAATAGACACTGTCTAACCTCTTTAATGACCCCTGGATTCAGTGAGAGGATGATGATGGCTGATGCTCCAAACATGAGAGCTTTTCTAACCTGTGCAGAAAAACAGAAGAAATAAAAGTGTGGCAATGAATAAAAGAGCTTCAGGCAGCATACTAACAAGTGTGAACAGATAAACATAATACTATATGTCTCTTCAAACATGACTATGAAGAAAAGCGGAGACTGATTTGCTGAACAAGACCTCCTGTAACCTCCATACACAAGCACATTATTTAGGCCACATCAAACTCTACCTAACAGAAGTTGCGGTAACTCAGTGGACTGTATGCCTGCCCCAGGTTGACTTGTGTTTGAATTCTTTCAAGGCAGTGAATATCTTTAGCACTGCAATGGGCTCACAGGTCAACTCAGCCTAAAATGGGTATCAGGAAATTTTGGGAAGCAAAGGTGGCTGGTGTGATACTGACCACAACAGACAATACGTTCAAACTGCTCAAAAACTATAAGGTGAGCACAATGTCCCCTGGGGTGAGCACAATGTCCCCTGGGGTGAGCACAATGTCCCCTGAGGTGAGCACAATGTCCCCTGGGGTGAGCACAATGTCCCCTGAGGTGAGCACAATGTCCCCTGAGGTGAGCACAATGTCCCCTGAGGTGAGCACAATGTCCCCTGAGGTGAGCACAATGTCCCCTGAGGTGAGCACAATGTCCCCTGGGGTGAGCACAATGTCCCCTGAGGTGAGCACAATGTCCCCTGGGGTGAGCACGATGTCCCCTGAGGTGAGCACAATGTCCCCTGAGGTGAGCACAATGTCCCCTGAGGTGAGCACAATGTCCCCTGAGGTGAGCACAATGTCCCCTGGGGTGAGCACAATGTCCCCTGAGGTGAGCACAATGTCCCCTGAGGTGAGCACAATGTCCCCTGAGGTGAGCACAATGTCCCCTGGGGTGAGCACAATGTCCCCTGGGGTGAGCACAATGTCCCCTGAGGTGAGCACAATGTCCCCTGAGGTGAGCACAATGTCCCCTGAGGTGAGCACAATGTCCCCTGAGGTGAGCACAATGTCCCCTGGGGTGAGCACAATGTCCCCTGGGGTGAGCACAATGTCCCCTGAGGTGAGCACAATGTCCCCTGAGGTGAGCACAATGTCCCCTGAGGTGAGCACAATGTCCCCTGAGGTGAGTACAATGTCCCCTGGGGTGAGCACAATGTCCCCTGGGGTGAGCACAATGTCCCCTGAGGTGAGCACAATGTCCCCTGGGGTGAGTACAATGTCCCCTGGGGTGAGCACAATGTCCCCTGGGGTGAGCACAATGTCCCCTGGGGTGAGTACAATGTCCCCTGGGGTGAGCACAATGTCCCCTGGGGTGAGCACAATGTCCCCTGGGGTGAGTACAATGTCCCCTGGGGTGAGCACAATGTCCCCTGGGGTGAGCACAATGTCCCCTGGGGTGAGCACAATGTCCCCTGGGGTGAGCACAATGTCCCCTGGGGTGAGCACAATGTCCCCTGGGGTGAGCACAATGTCCCCTGGGGTGAGCACAATGTCCCCAATATTCCTCATAGTGCCAACACAGTCCTTTACTTGACCCACAATTTGCCAAAGAACAGATTTGAGGCCAAAGATAGCAGCTTAGGATGCCCACTAGCAACCATGCTTGTGTGGAGCTTTCCAATAGGATGTAAGTATGAAACAGCAATGTATTTCTTCCTGGCTTTTTCCAGCCACTGTTTGGCTTATTTTCTCATCTGTGAGTTTGCAGTCTTAGCTGGACCAGTGTCTCAGTTTTCTCTCTATACATTTTGTAAATGAATTTTAAGAAATAGAGAAAAAGATGCTTCTGGCCTACAATATAATTCCAAGCTGATCTGAATAAATTCACTTCAACTCCCTTTGATTGCATCTGAAGTCAAGTGCCTGTACTCTGCCTGTGATTGCATCTGGAGTTAAATGCCTGTACTCTGCCTGTGATTGCATCTGAAGTCAAGTGCCTGTACTCTGCCTGTGATTGCATCTGAAGTCAAGTGCCTGTACTCTGCCTGTGATTGCATCTGAAGTCAAATGCCTGTACTCTGCCTGTGACTGCATCTGAAGTCAAATGCCTGTACTCTGCCTGTGATTGCATCTGAAGTCAAGTGCCTGTACTCTGCCTGTGACTGCATCTGAAGTCAAATGCCTGTACTCTGCCTGTGATTGCATCTGAAGTCAAATGCCTGTACTCTGCCTGTGATTGCATCTGAAGTCAAGTGCCTGTACTCTGCCTGTGATTGCATCTGAAGTCAAATGCCTGTACTCTGCCTGTGATTGCATCTGAAGTCAAATGCCTGTACTTTGCCTGTGACTGCATCTGAAGTCAAATGCCTGTACTCTGCCTGTGATTGCATCTGAAGTCAAGTGCCTGTACTTTGCCTGTGATTGCATCTGAAGTCAAATGCCTGTACTCTGCCTGTGATTGCATCTGAAGTCAAGTGCCTGTACTTTGCCTGTGATTGCATCTGAAGTCAAATGCCTGTACTCTGCCTATGATTGCATCTGAAGTCAAATGCCTGTACTCTGCCTCTGATTGCATCTGAAGTCAAATGCCTATACTCTGCCTGTGATTGCATCTGAAGTCAAATGCCTGTACTCTGCCTGTGATTGTATCTGAAGTCAAATGCCTGTACTCTGCCAAGGATGCAAGTTTAAACATCAGTCAGACTTTGGGGCGCTGACTGAAGTGTAATCCAATGAACTAGGCACCAGCATTAGGGCCAGATAACTCTTGACCAGAAGGTTTGTCTCTCCTAAGATTATCCATCTGTGAAGTCTGAAAGATGACTTTCTTGAAGAGATGAAGACAGGACATAAACAGATGAAGACAGGACATAAACAGATGAAGACAGGAGATAAACAGATAAAGACAGGACATAAACAGATGAAGACAGGACATGAACAGATGAAGACAGGACATGAATAGATGAAGGCAGGTCATGAATAGATGAAGACAGGACATGAATAGATGAAGGCAGGACATGAACAGATGAAGACAGGAGATAAAGAGGTGAAGACAGGACATGAACAGATGAAGACAGGACATGAATAGATGAAGGCAGGACATGAATAGATGAAGATAGGACATGAATAGATGAAGGCAAGACATGAACAGATGAAGGTAGGACATGAACAGATGAAGGCAGGACATGAATAGACGAAGAAAGGACATGAACTAGATGAAGGCAGGACATGTAACAACTATAAGCTCTTCCAAATAAGGCCAGAGACTGAGTGTACTCGAGGGGGAAGATTACATATTTCTATATGAATTTGCTTGCTACGTCTAGGATTATATTAATGTAGTGTCTCTTTTCTCTCAAGTTGTCAAAGGGGCTATCTGATTAATTGACAAATGATTACTGTTAAATGTCAAATACAAACTATCTAATTATTTGTTTAGCAGATTTAAGTTATCAATAAACCTAATTTCAAGTTATAATATCATTGTTTGATCATCATCATCATCAGGTGCCTTGCTGACTGGCGTGGGCGATCATGCCTCTCCATAATCTGCGATCTCCTGCAGCATGTATCAGTTCGTGTGCCGACACACCTCCAAGCCATGCAACAACATTGTTTGATAAATTGTGTATTTAATTTCAAGTGTCTTTGTTCATACTTGTTGATCTCAGTAACTCAAAAAAACCCCACAAAATTCACTTAATGGGAGCATATACCTTTGTACTAGGTGGGGAGAAAGTCTGAGGGGTGAACCGCAAATTTTGATGCCCTCTCATTAAATCAGTCTTGATATCTAACTATCTTTTTCTTACTCTTTTAGGTATCAAGTACAGCTACTTTTATTTTATTTTACAAACTATTTTTGGCTGCTTTCTTGGACATCAACTCAAATCAGACATTAGTCCAGTTTCTCAGGTGGGTGTACAAAGTCAGGATTCAAACTCACACACTCACTACACAAGTGGATATCCACATGGTGTTGGCAACAATCAGAAAAATAAAAACACATAAAATTTGATGACAAGAGAGCCCTCTCCTTTGAACCCTTCTATACAATTTGATGACAAGAGAGCCCTCTCCTTTGAACCCTTCTATACAATTTGATGACAAGAGAGCCCTCTCCTTTGAACCCTTCTATACAATTACTAAAAGAGATATGACACAGTAAATAAACAAATGCAAGTTGTTTTAGATGTTCTTACCCTCTCCATAACCAGAGGACAGTCACCAGGGCTGCCATCTCCTACTATCCCATCAGTTTCTGCTGAGTAGTGAATGACCCCGACCCAATCTTGAGGTAAGCGGGCAAATCCACGGTCCTCATCTTTGCCACAATTGTCCAGTGAAAGCTGTAAAACCAGAACATGTAAAATTCATTTTCATCATCGTCCATAACACTGTGTGTCGTTGGGTCACCAGTTCTGCTGACTGTCTGATCAGCTCCCTCCACCTTTGACGGTCAAATGCAGTGGTCTTCACGGTTGCATGCCTAAGGCTTGACCAGTCAGTCAGGTTCTGTATCCAGGTCTTTCTTGGTCTACCTCTTCTCCTCTAGTTAGCTCTGTTGTGATGTTTTTGAGAGGCCTTTAGATCTTATTTCATGTCTGTACCATTGCATTTTCTATCTGTTAACTGTAGTTAAAGGTGGTTGCTGGTTAATTATTAGGTGAACTTCATCATTTGTGATGTGGTCTCTGTATGATATGTCAAGAATTTTTCTAAAAGATCTCCTTTCCAATGCTTGTATCTTCTTTTCAAGTTCAGCTGTTAAGGTCCATGTTACACAGCCATATGTAAACATACTAATAACTAGTGGACTGAGCAGTCATACCTTAGTTTTATATGAAATGCTTGTGGATCTCCAAAACATTTCCTGTTTGACAAGGACTGATGCCTGGACAATTCTAGACATGATTTCTGGTCTTGACTCAGGTCACTTAAAATGGATCCTAAATATTTGAAATGATTGACTTGTTCTAATTTGTGACGTATAACATACATTAGTGTTGTTATGCCAGCTGGATTAATAGTCATTACCTTAGTCTTTTGCATGCCCTACTTGGTCGATGTTTCATCAAAGAGGTTTATTGGTTAAAATAGCTTTTGTTTTTCCCTCGCTAGCCCCTTGATGCAATCTGCAAACCTTAAGTTCATTAAGGTTCGTTCTAAAATACTAACCGTCCCTTGAGGTTTTTCTTGGGTGTCAGTCATAATTCTTTCTAAGAAGATATTAGGAAAGAAAGCAGCCCAATCGGACAGATTTGTTGTTTGCAACCAGCTCCCAATTTTAGCTATTCAGCATGACAGCATTACTGGCTATGACATAAAGTTGTTCTATACTGCGTATGAAGGTTTTACCAAGACTGTACTTTTCCACAATATCCTCGGTCATGAGGATTAATCTACTGCAGTCCAACTGATTCTGGTTTTGTAGTCAGGTATTGCAGTTGTTCTATATTTAATGGTTGAGATTCTCGCTGACTGTATGTGTGGTTTTATCTTCTGCTAAACTTCCAAGTTATATTCTGTGTTTATTAATATTTTGTCGTCCTATTACTTTTGTTTTTGTTTCTCAAGCATGTTTATTTTTAGTCAAAGCCTAGGATCTGAATTTTTGTTTTTTTTCAAAACTTAAAGGCTTATAAAAAAAAGAATCTTTATTGTATATTGCCAGTACAGTAATAATAATGTCAACATTCATTTATAATACACTAACATATTATGTTGCTTATTAAAATTAAAATATTAGCATTAACTGTAAAGTAATAACAGCGGGTCTAGGTCTAGTTATATATATATATATATATATATATATATATATATATATATATATATATAATACTATTACACTATTATTACTACTATATTAGTACTATTACATACATAAGTCATTAGTCATTAGTTTTAGTTTCCCCTTGGATAGGCCCTTTCAGGACAATACCTACCAAATGCAGACGCCCTTGCACTTGTCCACTGCCACCCGCAGACATATAGCGACCCCTGAGATTAGCAAGGACTCCATGGTCACTTCTACTCTTGTGGGTGTACCCAAAACGACTGGATACACCCGGGGAGCTGGCTACTTCATCCTGAGATTCAATTATTACTTGTCTGGAGCTTTTCAATGATGACTTTGAAGATTCATACACTTCAACCATGGCATCGTTGGCCTTCACATATGAAACCTGCAGGCATAGAATACACGCATAAAGCAGAACTAAACAACAGCATAGTTTTCGTGTGTGCAGTAAAGAAACAGTAAGGACCTGCAGGGATAAACTAGCTTCCACGGCCATATTCTATGTTTATGGTCTACGTCCCTCTGAGATTTTCGGTTTCTTCCACCAAAGAACGGCAATCACAGACTCAAAGAGTAAGCTCCCTTTACCAATATTTATACTTTTTTTACACCTTCTCACACACACACTCACACACACACACACACCCACACACACACACACATATATATATATATATATATATATATATATATATATATATATATATATACCTTTCGCAAGGTGCTAGAGACGATTATTCTTCTTAAACTGCACATATTTTTTAAACTGCCAAAAAATTTGGGTCGTTACCGGCAACGGAAAGATACATGGTCGAATGCAGCTACTGTTGCATTTGATGTTTAATGAAGGTTTCCAGAACAGGAGAAGTAGGTAGGTAGGTAGTTGCACCAAACCAGGACGTCACACAAGCGATACACATCAGGTGAAACAAGGTGCCACCATTTGGATGAGGATCACCCGCGGAAAGGTACCAGAAACCCCTTTCGGCCGTTAGGGGATATCTATGGCTAGGCCATATCTATGCCCCGCTATATTCAGGGCCTCCAGCAGAAGCCAAGGTGGAGCTTCAAAAAAGTGCATTCAACACGGAAACAACTTTGTAATACATAACAGACAGAAGACAGTTGTGGCAGCACTTGGTCCTGAGGATGCCTACATTAGAGTCAGATATGATATTTTAATATCTGCAGTCATGGAGAAGGGGTTTTGTCCATGGCCTGTGAACTACCCCAGGGTTCTGCAATTTCACAACTGATCTTTAATGTGTATTCGCAGGTCGACCAAACTTAAAATGGGTACCAGGATGGCTTTTCTGGGAAAGTAAAGACAGCCGGCGTAATGCTGACCACATTACCCAGCCAGTGCTGATGGGTCTGTAAAAATATGGGACGCTCTTCCCATATGCCCGATGCACCTTAGGCGTGAAAAGGGATCTTTACTTACTTTACCTTACTCTTTAATGTGTATACAAGCAGGATTGCAGAACTTGAATCACCAGGTGTTGAAAAAATATTGACATTTGCTGATGATATTCTTGCATATAGGCAGTGGAGTGATAGACAACGGATAGCCCAAGAGCTGCAGACAACTGTAGACAATATGACTGACTGGTGTGCAGAAATGGCTGCTGTCATCAACTCAGAAAAGGTGACTATTTTGTGGTGCTCTCTGGGCAATAAAATTGTAAGAGCTGATGTTCCAAGCCTCGCAATTAATAACTGTAACATTAAAGAGCAAACCGAGATACCCGGGTATCACTTTCGATAGAAGCCTGTTCTGTAGGGACCACGGGGGGGCAGTTGCGGTGAAATGCCATAAAGACTAAATGCTCTCAAGATTATGGCAGCAATGGCCATGGAACAAAGAATACAGTTCCCAATGTTACAGCGTGTAATACTGTCGGTGATAGATTATGGGCTTGGAATGCTTACCATATCAAAGAGTCAGCTGATGAAACTTGAACGCATACAGAATAAAGCCATGCGAGTATTTCTGGGATGTACAAGAGATACCCCGGTAGTATGTATGCGATATGTATTTGCACTGCCTACTTTTGCAGACTTGCTCAAAGTTCTGCAGGCAATAATACCTCCGATTTCGAACAACCACAATGAAATATGCCCCCAGGGCCCTCCGAAAGGGGGGGAGAATGAAGGGCCCAATCTGATTGATACCCTCGTTGACGACTTTGCTAGCCCCCGGACTGAGACACTCGCCCAACGTCCGGGCTGGCTCTGTACATGTGGGAAAAGCTTCACGGGGTTGCATGGTCTGAGAACGCATGCCGGAAGAATGAAATGCGAGGGTGCTCCACGCAGTAAACGCCGCCGCAAAACTACCACTCCTGTGGTAGTTTCTGAGTCGTCAGGGTACGACGGGCAGGGTGAACCCCACTCGTCCCGGAGAGGCCCATGACGTCGACTGCGGAGGAGCTCCTTTGATGATTTCTGAAGAAGTGCGTTCCAAGATCAGGTTTCCACCTGCGAGCGAGAAGGTGGTGTGGTGTAAGTTGGAGGCTACATTATGTGAGGTACTTAAACAAACTCTAAACAAGAAGTCGCTAGGCGACAAGCTTACTAAATTTGGTGATGTAATATATGAACACTGCTCCCGCGAGTTCGGGACAGTAGTAAAGGCACAGCCGGGTGCCAAGCAGAATACTAGCAGGAGGCAGAGAGACATTCTGAAGTGTCGGGCAGACAAGAATGCCCTCAGAAAACGGATCAAAGCCGCTACAGGCAGCGAACGGGAGGGGCTGTACGAAGTTTTGTTGCATTTAAAGAACAAACACAGTGCCCTCTGTCGTGCCGAGCGTTTCTGTAACAACAGACGAAGAACCAAAAGGGAGCGAGAGAAATTCTTTAGGGACCCGTATCAAGTTGCCCGAGGTCTATTCGAGCAACCGAAGTCTGGGACTCTGGTTGTCAGTCAGGAAGAACTAGAGCTACATCTACGCAAGATGTACTCGGATAAAAAGAGGAGAGAGCCTCTCGATGACAATCCAGAGATCCTTAGCGGACTCAAACAGCCTTCGGTGCCGAAGGTACCATTTAAACTGGTACCTCCCCTTTGGTCTGAGGTTGAGGACGTTGTGAAAAAAGCCAGCGGCAAGTCTGCCCCAGGTCCGAACGGTGTTCCGTACGTTCTTTACAAGCGTTGCCCGAAAATCCTTAAAATGCTTCACGTCTTGTTGAGACAAGCGTGGATCCGCAATCACATATGTCCAGAGTGGTCAAAGGCAAATGGGGTCTACATTCCCAAAGAGCAGGACTCGAAGAGTCTTTCCCAATTCAGGCCCATCTCGCTGTTGAATGTTGAGGGTAAGATATTCTTCTCAGTCATGGCTCGCCGGCTCACACAGTATCTGATGACTAACAAGTACATAGATACGAGTGTTCAGAAGGGTGGCATTCCAGGTGTTCCTGGGTGCCTTGAACACGCGACCATGATTTGGGAGGCTATCCAGAGAGCCAAGCATGAGAGAACCGATTTGCACGTTATATGGTTGGACTTAGCCAACGCCTACGGGGCAGTCCCCCATAGGCTACTGTAGAGAGCCCTTCGCATGTTTCACGTACCGACACAGATCAGTCAAATGGTCGAGCAATATTTCTCTAAGTTCGCTTTGCGCTTCTCTACCTCGACGTTTACCACGAGGTGGACTGAGTTGCAGATTGGGATAGCTATGGGTTGTACGATCTCACCCATACTGTTTGTCATGGCAATGCAGATCATGTTAGACGGGGCGGCCGGCTACGGACTGGGCCTTCAAATAGGGGATCACTGGTTGCCGCCACTGCGCGCATTTATGGATGACACGACTATTATAACGGGCAGCGAGGCGTCTGCCCGCACGATCCTGAATAGATTGGACGCGGTGGTCCAATGGAGCGGTATGCAGTTCAAACCGCAGAAGTCGAGGAGTCTGTCAATCCATAAGGGCAAGGTTTCGGCGACCAGTTTTACGGTGGCAAGGAACAAGATCCCTACGGTTCTGGAGGAACCGGTGAAGAGCCTCGGTCGCGTCTACGATTCGAAGTTATCTGACAGAGCGGAAGTCCGGCGAATACATGAGTCACTGGCTACAGGCCTGCTCGCGATCGAGCGATGCAGGCTGATCGGAAAATTCAAGGTATGGTGTCTCCAATTCATGTTGATTCCGAAGCTTCTATGGCCACTGCTAGTCTACGAGGTGACGATGACTGCAGTGGAAACCATGGAAAAGAAAATCAACACAGCCTTAAGAAAGTGGATTGGTGCACCACCTTGTCTGACCGACGTGGCTCTGTATTGTAAACAGGCTAAGCTGGTACTTCCGTTCAAGTCAATAACCGAAGAGTTTAAAGTCGGCAAAGTTAGGCTCGCCATGCTTCTGCGCGAGTCCTCAGACCCAAATGTCATCGCTGTCCAGCCCGCTCTAAAGACTGGCCAGAAGTGGAGGGTCCTCGATGCGATAGAAGCTGCTCAGAACGCACTAAAATTGAAGGAGGTGATGGGTTACACACAAACCGACCGTCGAGGCCTAGGGCACGGGAAAGTCAATTGGTGGTCAAAGGCCTCAGCCAAAGAGCGCCGAGACATGGTGATACAAACGGTGAGGGACAACGAAAACGAGGTTCGGGTCCAGAAAGCAGCCCAACAGTCGCAGCAGGGCCATTGGGTCAGCCTGGAGAGCGCATTGCCGAGAATACTCACATGGGGTGAGATCTGGCGGATGACCCCGCTGCGACTGAGCTTTATCGTTCGTTCGGCGTACGATGTATTACCGTCCGGTGTTAACATGGTTAAATGGTCTGCGACCAACGATCCGACTTGCCCGTTGTGCAAATCAAAGCAAACTCTTGAGCACGTCCTGTCCGCGTGCAGGAAAGCTCTAGGTCAAGGCCGCTATAACCTGGCGCCACAACAAGGTGCTAAAGGAGTTAGCAGCCGTTGTCGACCAGGCTAGAATGAGGGCTAATGCCAGAGCCAGTTCTAGTATCGTCCCCATTCGTTTCCTCAAGGCTGGGCAGGTTCCAAAAGGTAAGGTCAACCAAAACGCATTCGCTCCATCTGCGCTAGACTCTGCGAGGGACTGGTTACTGGCGGTTGATCTGCCAGGACATGAACGGTATCCCGAGTTGATCCGTAAAACCGGCCTGCGACCGGACATCGTTCTCCATTCTGCGCAAAAACGGCAACTCATCCTGATTGAGTTGACGGTCCCGTTTGAGTCGCGTATGGAGGAGAATCATTTGTATAAGCTCGAGAAATACAGTGATTTAGCAGCCGGTTTGAGGAGAAACGAAGCTTACACAGTACGGGTATTTGCCGTCGAAGTGGGAGCGAGAGGCCTCGTTTCCACTTCGCTCTACAATGTGGTTAAAGAATTAGGATTGCGCGGTAATGAACGGAAACGAACACTCAAAAAACTGGGAGAGGTGGCCGAAAGGGCCTCTAGCTGGCTGTGGACGCAGCGCAACAACGTAGGGGACGGGCCTCGGTGAGCTGGTCCG